TCAAATAATTTTCCCTCCACACTGGGACCTCTTGAGTATTGAAAGTGTTGGTATTAATAATTATGGCAGGAGGGGTGCCTGGGTGGCTCAGTTGGTGTCTGCCTTTGACTCAGGTCATGATCCCAGGGTCCTGGGATCAAGCCCCGTGTCGGGCTCCCTGCGTGTTCAGCAGGGAGTCTGCCTCTCTCTGCCCCCCCCCTAAAATAAATGAATAAAGCTTTAAAAGATAATTATGGCAGGACAACAGGAATGATATGAGGTTTACGGCTTCCCTTTAAAAAAAGATAGAAATGATTGGAGGGAGAGATGAACCATGAGAGACTATGGACTCTGAGAAACAAACTGAGGGTTCTAGAGGGGAGGGGGGTGGGGGATGGGTTAGCCCGGTGATGGGTATTAAGGAGGGAACGTTCTGCATGGAGCACTGGGTGTTATACAAAAACAATGAATCATGGATCACTACATCAAAAACTAATGATGTATTGTATGGTGACTAACAACGTAATAAAATAAAATTAAAAAAAGAGAAATGATTGGTTTAAAAAGAAAGGCACATTGATTAGGTTTTTCATTTTAGACAGCTTATTGTGATTAGAGTCTTCTGTAGTACTCCTCCCATATCCCCGAGGAACATGTTCCAAGACCCTCAGTGGATACCTGAAACCATGGATAGTATTGAACCCTATATATATCCTATATATTTTTTTCCTATACATACATACTTATGATACAGTTTATCAATTGGGTACAGCAAGAAATAAACAACAATAATAAGTAGAATAATTTTAACAATATAATAAGGTTATGTAAATGTAGTCTCTCTCAAAATATCCTACTGTACTGTACTCCCCCTTCTTGTGATGATGTAAGATGACAAAATGCCTGCATGACGAGGTGGAGTGAAGTGAATGACAGAAGCACTGTGATGTAGGGTTAGGCTACATCTCTAACCATTCCATCTGGACCTCAGACCACAGTTGACCTTGGTTGACTGAAACTGAATAAAGGGAATGCTATAATGAATTCCAGGGAGAAAGGATAAGAAAAAAAAAAAAAACTCAGGCAGTGATAATTTAGTGCAGTCTGCCACCGTAGAGATTATGTCATTGTATAATTGTGGTTGAGTGAATTTATTTGAAAAATCTAGAAAGTATTTTTTTGAGTTTGAATAATTTCTTTCAATAAATATAACTGAGCACCTTTTAAGGCAAAACAAGTGGATACTGGGTGTAAAACATTAAAGTTCACATTAGTCATCTTTCACTGAATATCCAATTTATAGAAAAACAATATGAGAGGCACCTGGGTGGCTTGGTTGTGTGTCTGCCTTCTGCTCAGGTCATGATCTCAGGGTCCTGGGATCGAGCCCTGCATCGGGCTCCCTGCTCAGCAGGGAGCCTGCTTCTCCCTCCCCCTTCCCCTGCTCCTTCTCTCTCTCTCAAATAAATGAATAAAATCTTAAAAAAAGAGAAACAATATGAAAGAAATACATGTAGTAGTGAACATTGAAAAAATCAAAATTACAGAAAATGTAATTCTGATGGCTGGATCAGGAAAGGTCACTGGAGAAATGGTATTTTGTAGGGAAACTGAAAGGTGCTTAACAATTATTCAGAAGTTGAGAGTCTTATTTATTTGATTTTAAAAATTTTTATTTAAATTCAATTTAGTTAATATGTAGTATATTATTAGTTTCAGGGGTAGAATTCAGTGATTCATCAGTTGCATATAACACCCAGTGCTCATTACATCAAGTGCCCTCCTTAATGCCCATCGTGCAATTACCCCATCTCCCACCCATCTCCCACCCACCATCCCTCCAGCAACCCTGTTTGTTTCCTAGAGTTAAGAGTCTCTTATGGTTTGCCTCCCTCTCTGTTTTTATCTTATTTTATTTTTCCTTCCTTTCCCCCATGTTCATCTGTTTTGTTTCTTATATTCCACATATGAGTGAAATCATGTTATTTGTCTTTCTCTGGCTGACTTATTTTGCTTAGAATAATGCCCTCTAGTTCTATCCACATTGTTGCAAATGACAAGATTTCATTCTTTTTGATGGCTGAGTAATATTCCATTATATCATCTTTATCCATTCATCTGTTGATGGACATCTGGGCTCTTTCCATATTTTGGCTATTGTGGACATTGCTGCTATAAACATTGGGGTGCATGTGCCCCTTCGAATCACTATGTTTATATCTTTTGGATAAATACCTAGTAGTGCAATTGCTGGGTCATAGGGTAGTTCTATTTTTAACTTTTTGAGGAACCTCCATACTGTTTTCCAGAGTGGCTGCACCAGTTTGCATTCCCACCAACAGTGTAAGAGGGTTCCCCTTTCTCTGAATCCTCACCAACATCTGTTTCCTGATTTGTTAATTTTAGCCATTCTGACTAGTGTGAGGTGGTATCTCATTGTGGTTTTGATTTATATTTCCCTGATGCCGAATGATGTTGAGTATTTTTCCATGTATCACTTGACCATTTGTATGTCTTCTTTGGAGAAATGTCTGTTTATGTCTTCTGTCCATTTCTTGACTGGATTTTTTTGTTTTTTGGTGTTGAGTTTATTAGATGGATTCAGGATTCATTGTTATAAGAGTGTGAAGTGGTAGGGTGGCCAGAATGCCACTCAGGTTTATTTTATTTTTTAAAAAATTTTATTTTATTTTATTATGTTATGTTAGTCACCATACAGTACATCATTAGTTTTTGATGTAGTGTTCCATGATTCATTGTTTGCATATAACACCCAGTGCTCCATGCAATATGTGCCCTCCTTAATACCCATCACCAGGTTAAACCATCACTCCAGCCCCCTCCCCTCTAAAACCCTGTTTGTTTCTTGGAGTCCATAGTCTCTCATGGTTCATCTCCTCCTCCAATTTCCCCCTTCATTTTTTCCTTCTTTCTCCTAATGTCCTCCATGCTATTCCTTATGTTCCCCCAAATAAGGGAAACCATATGATAATTGACTTTCTCTGCTTGACTTATTTCACTTAGCATAATCTCCTCCAGTTTAATCCACACTGATGCAAAAGTTGGGGTCCTGGGATCGAGCCCCACGATCCTTATGTCCTTTCTGATGGCTGAGTATTATTCCATTGTATACATGGACCACATCTTTATCCATTGGTCTGTTGAAGGGCATCTTGGCTCCAGTAGCCAAACTGTGGACATTGCTGCTATAAACATTGGGGTGCATGTGTCCCTTCTTTTCACTACATCTGTGTCTTTGGGGTAAATACCCAGGAGTGCAATTGCTGGGTCATAGGGTAGCTCTATTTTTAATTTTCTGAGGAATTTCCACACTGTTTTCCAAAGTGGCTGTACCAACTTGCATTCACACCAGCAGTGTAAGAGGGTTCCCCTTTCTCCACAACCTCTCCAACATTTGTTGTTTCTTGCCTTGTCAATTTTTGCCATTCTAACTGGTGTAGGGTGGTATCTCAATTGCCACTCAGGTTTAAACAAGATATTAGTACTAGCAAGTGGGTTTGGGGACACTTTGATAGCAGTGAATTATTTGGGGAATTGGTTGGTTCAACTTGAGATCTGGTCACTGTGATTGGAGTCATCAATATTATCACTGAAGAGGTGAGTGGGAGGATGGCATTGGGTATCAGGATTGGAGTCAGATCTGTGCTGATTCTATGGGCATGTCTAGCTCTATGGGCTAATGGTATTTGAAGTCCAGGAAATGGATGGATGGCCTAGACAGGGGTGTGGATGAACAAATGTGAGAGCAGGATTGATTTTTTTTTTTAAGATTTTTATTTATTTATTTGACAGAGAGATAGAGAGAGAGCACAAGTAGGCAGAGTGGCAGGCAGAGGGAGAGGGAGAAGCAGGCTCTCCGCTGAGCAGGGAGCCGGACATGGGGCTCGATCCCAGGACCCCAGGATCATGACCTGAGCCGAAGGCAGCCGCTTAACCGACTGAGCCACCCAGGCGCCCCGTAGGATTGATTTCTAAGAAGCATCTATTTGTTGTGCTAAGTCAGAAAGAGGAGCTGACATTAACAAGGAGAAGAGAATGAAGAGTATCAGGGAGAATGTTCTGTACCAGAACCTTGGATAATGGTTTACAAAGGAGGTCTTTGTGGAAAAAAAAAAAAAAAAGGGATCTGTGTTATGGGAATATTTGCATATAAATATATTGCAAATAAATATCTGAGTTATTATTTTTTAAAAATTTTATTATGTTATGTTAGTCACCATACAATACATCATTCGTTTTTGATGTGGTGATCCACGATCCATTGTTTTCGTATAACACCCAGTGCTCCATGCAGTACGTGCCCTCCTTAATACCCATCACTGGGCTAACCAATCCCCCCTCCTCCCTCCCCTCTAAAACCCTGTTTGTTTCTCAGGTCCATAGTCTGTCATGGTTCATCTCTCCCTCCAATTCCCCCCCCACACACATTTTTCCCTTCCTTCTCCTAATGTCCTCCATGCTATTCCTTATGTTTCACAAATAAGTGAAACCATATGATAATTGACTTTCTCTGCTTGACTTATTTCACTTAGCATAGTCTCCTCCAGTCCCATCCATGTTGATGTAAAAGTTGGGTATTCATCTTTTCTGATGGCTGAGTAATATTCCATTGTATATATGGACCACATCTTCTTTATCCATTCATCTGTTGAAGGTCATCTCGGCTCTTTCCACAGTTTGGCTATTGCGGACATTGCTGCTAGGAACATTGGGGTGCATATGGCCCTTCTTTTCACTACATCTGTGTCTTTGGGGCAAATTATTTATGAACAGGAGGATAGCTGAGTGAAGATGGGATTTGGGTGTGCAAGTGAAAGCTAGTAAGTATCTCAGGGTTGGGAGGGATATGATCTCACTGAAGATGAGGCATGAAAGCTAGGAAAACCAGGAGGTAGTGTGTCCTAAAGCATAGTAAGGAGATACTGAACACCTGAAGTCTTGGGATACGAAGAGACCTATGATCCTTGTGTCTAAATGATGGTGGGTCAGGGGGTACCAGCATGTGTGTGGTTGACATTGACAAGGGTGGGAGGAGGGAAACATCCTCCAGGGAAGATGGTGGAGGGGAAAGGGTCTGGAGTTGGCACTGGGTAATGACCTCAAGCTTTCTGTCCTTGACTTATATCTGCTTGACGGTGTTCCAGAACTGGTTCTCAGTGTGTGGTGTCTGCACGAGCAGCATCAGCATCACCTGAGAACCCTTAGAAAGGCAGATTCTTGGCCCCAGCCCAGACCTACTTGGCTTGAGGCCCAGAAGTCTGAGTTTTAACAACCCTCTGGATGATTGTGATGCACCGTGCGATTCAAGACACATTTCTCCATGGAGAGAGGAGGGTGGAATATTCATATGAGCTGAGAACATTCTTTGTGGCTGGTGGTCCTCATCCCCCATTTTATTCAAATATCACATTTCATTTTGTTTTCAAAGGGCAAGCTCAAAAGAAACATGATGTCCCAGACCATAGAGAAGAAAAGACAAGTCCATTTAGCCAAGGCCAAGAAAAGATATCATGAAAGAGCTGCACCTCCTATAAGGCTGACCAGTTGCATTTTTAAGAGGCCAGTCACGAGCATAACTTCCCATTCTGGCAACGAGGTCAGGTACAGTCAACGGGACAGGGCCTTGGAGAAGCCCCAGCAAATCTCTGTGTACAGGAGACTGCAGGGACTCCAGGCCTGCAGCAGTGAAGGAGAAATTTTAAGTACTTTGGACTTCATAAATACCTCACAAGTGATTGTACCAGGCAGTGCAGGTGCAGGGTCTCTACCTAGTGGCCCTGGGCCCAGCACGGTACCATCTTCAGTTTGGGCAGGGATGTTCCCAGGAGTGGGTCTCTATCTCCCACCACCCATCTGCATACAGCCAGTAACACCTGGAGATATCCGGAGACAGACTCGGAAAGTGAAAAAAGCAAGAGAGAGACTGGCTGAGGCCTTGAGGGCAGACAGGCTTGCCAGGGAGGTGGAGAGAGCCAGAAGCCAAGAGGGACATTCTGAACATTCTGACAACTAGAGGAAAAGTAGGAAAAGGTTGTGTGGAAGGATCCAGTGGGGTGCTTCACTGTGAGACAGCCCCCAGTTTCATTTCCTGTCGAGATGTCAATCGTTTCTTGCTCTGTGCCTTGTTATATCAAAATTGTACTTCATTAAACTCTTTTGAGAGACAAAGGTGTGAAAGAGTATAGAGTGGTGGTTTTGTGGGTAAGAGATTGGATTTCATTTGAAATAAGTCAATCAGAGAAACAATTATCATATGGTTTCACTCATATGTGAAACATAAGGGATAATGCAGAGGACAATAGGGGTGGGGGGAAAACTGAATGGGAAGAAATCAGAGAGGGAGATAAACCATATGAGACTCTTGACTCCGGGAAACAAACTGAGGGTTGTGGAAAGGGAGGGGGGTGGGGGGATAGGGTAACAAGGTGATGGGTATTAAGGAGGCCACTTGATGTGATGAGCACTGGGTGTTATACTGAACTGATGAATCACTGAACATTATATCAAAAACCAATGATGTACTTACTATACCTTGGCTAATTGAATTTAAAGAAAAAAGAAAAAAAAGAAAGAATCCTTGCCAGCAAGCTCACTGCCTTCGCCCTGAATGAAACTAGTCCACCTCACAGCATAGGACACATTGGAATTATTCAATAAACAATTCATTTTGCTTATAAACAATTTATTCAGTAAACATTGTAATCATTTATGGTGAACAAATAATTGATGGAATAAAGGTGTCACTTCTGTAGAAGTCAGAGGGGGAGACTGTCTCACTAGGTTCAGGAAGGAAAAGAAGTGATGTGGTTCTGGAAGGACCTGGTATTTTCTGGACTTCTTAAACTTTTGGTAGAGTAGTTTTAGCAGAGCTGGGGAAGGAAGCCTGATTTCAGAGGGTCAAAGACTGAAAAACAAAGAGTGAGTGGAGGTGGACAGCTATGCCTCAGACAGCTGTACCTCATGCCTCTTACAACAGGCTCTGGATTTAACTTAGTGAAAGCTCTCTCCCAGAGCCAGCAGCTTTGGTGGAGGCTGATTCCACCCCAGAACGGAGGCAGGCCTGACTCTTCAGTGTGAGCTAGTCTGCATATTCCAAACTCTCAGTGTCCTGGGGTAGGACATCCCATGGCCCTCTCTGGTCCAGTCGATCCAGGCACAGAGCACTTTATGGAACACAAGGTGGAGCCCAGTACACAGGGCTCTTACCTGCCAGACCTGGCATTCTGGAAGGTGGAGTTGAGTGAGGTCACAGTGTAAGAGCGGTTGCCTGGGTTTGAGGCCATCTGGGAGGACAGCATAATAGGGGTGGGTGTGCTGGTGGACAGGACAAGACCTGTCCTCCTCATTTGTATTCTGCAAGTATCTATGTCTGGACCTAATCTACTCAAGTTCCATTAACATAGCTGATTTCTACCCTCATTGAATCTTTCCTATTTTTATTTTCTGTTAAATTGTTTTATCTTTTTTTTTAAATTTTATTATGTTATGTTAGTTACCATACAATACATCCTTAGTTTTTGATGTGGTGATCCACTATCCATTGTTTTCGTATAACACCCAGTGCTCCATACAGTACGTGCCCTCCTTAATACCCATCACTGGGCTAACCAATCCCCCCTCACCCCTCTAAAACCCTCTAAAACCCTGTTTGTTTCTCAGAGTCCATAGTCTCTCATGGTTCATCTCTCCCTCCAATTCTACCCCCCCCATTTTTCCCTTCCTTCTCCTAATGTCCTCCATGCTATTCCTTATGTTCCCCCAAATAAGTGAAACCATATGATAATTGACTTTCTCTGCTTGACTTATTTCACTTAGCATAATCTCCTCCAGTCCCATCCATGTTGATGTAAAAGTTTGGTATTCATCCTTTCTGATGGCTGAGTAATATTCCATTGTATATATGGACCACATCTTCTTTATCCATTCATCTGTTGAAGGACATCTCGGCTCTTTCCACAGTTTGGCTATTGCGGACATTGCTGCTAGGAACATTGGGGTGCATATGGCCCTTCTTTTCACTACATCTGGGTCTTTGGGGTAAATACCCAGGAGTGCAATTGCTGGGTCATAGGGTAGCTCTATTTTTAATTTTTTGAGGCACCTCCACACTTTTCCAAAGTGGCTGTACCAACTTGCATTCCCACCAACAGTGTAAGTGGGTTCCCCATTCTCCACAACCTCTCCAACATTTGTTGTTTCTTTCCCTGTCCATTTTTGCCATTCTAACTGGTGTAAGGGGGTATCTCAATGTGGTTTTGATTTGAATTTCCCTGATGGCTAATGATGATGAACATTTTTTCATGTGTCTGTTAGCCATTTGTATGTCTTCTTCAGAGAAGTGTCTTTTCATATCTTCTGCCCATTTTTTGACTTGATTCTTTGTTTTTTGGATGTTGAGTTTGAGAAGTTCTTTATAGATCTTGGATACCAGCCCTTTATCTGTAGTGTCATTTGCAAATATCTTCTCCCATTCCATGGGTTGCCTCTTTGTTTTGTTGACTGTGTTTCCTTTGTTGTGCAGAAGCTTTTTATCTTGATGAAGTCCCAAAAGTTCATTTTTGCTTTTGTTTCACTAGCCTTTGGAGATGTATCTTGAAAGAAGTTGCTGTGGGCGATGTCAGAGAGGTTACTGCCTATGTTCTCCTCTAGGATTTTGATGGATTCCTGTCGTACATTGTCATATGTCAATTGATTATTGACAATATGACATATTGTCATATGTCAATTACATAAGACAATGTAATTGTCTTAACTGCGGTCTTTCATCCATTTTGAGTTTATTTTTGTGTATGGTGTTAGAGAATGGTCGAGTTTCATTCTTCTGCATGTGGCTGTCCAATTTTCCCAGCACCATTTATTGAAGAGACTTTTTTCCATTGCATGTTTTTTCCTGCTTTGTCGAAGATTATTTGACCATAGAGTTGAGGGTCCATATCTGGGTTCTCTATTCTTTCCATTGGTCTATATGTCTGTTTTTGTGCCAGTACCATGCTGTCTTGGTGATCACTGCTTTGTAATACAGCTTGAAATCAGGCAACGTGATACCCCCCATTTTGTTTTTCTTTTTCAACATTTCCTTGGCGATTCAGGGTCTTTTCTGATTCCATACACATTTTAGGATTGTTTGTTCCAGCACTTTGAAAAATGTCATTGGAATTTTGATCAGGATGGCATTGAAGGTATAGATTGCTCTGGGTACCATAGACATTTTCACAATGTTTATTCTTCCGATCCATGAGCATGGAATATTTTTCCATCTTTTTGTGTCTTCTTCAATTTCTTTCATGAGTGTTCTGTAGTTCCTAGAGTATAGATCCTTTACCTCTTTGGTTAGGTTTATTCCGAGGTATCTTATGGTTTTTGGTGCTATTGTAAATGGAATCGTTTCTCTAATTTCTCTTTCTACAGTTGCGTTGTTAGTGTATAAGAAAGCAACTGATTTCTGTGCATTGATTTTGTATCCTGCCACATTACTGAATTGCTGTATGAGTTGTAGTAATTTGGGGGTGGAGTCTTTTGGGTTTTCCACATAAAGTATCATGTCATCTGCGAAAAGAGAGAGTTTGACTTCTTCTTTGCCAATTTGAATACATTTCATTTCTTTTTGTTGTCTGATTGCTGTTGCTAGGACTTCTAATACTATGTTGAACAATAGTGGCGAGAGTGGGCATGCTTGACGTGTTCCTGATTTTTAAAAAAATTATTATTATGTTAATCACCATACATTATATCATTAGTTTTTGATGTAGTGTTCCATGATTCGTTGTTTGTGTGTAACACCCAGTGTTCCACGTAGAACATGCCCTCTTTAATACCCATCACCAGGCTAACCCATCCCCCCACCCTCCTCCCCTCTAGAACCCTCAGTTTGTTTTTCAGAGTCCATCATCTCTCATGGTTCATCTCACACCAGTCAGAATGGCTAAAATTAACAAGTCAGAAACAACAAATGTTGGTGAGGATGTGGAGAAAGGGGAACACCCTTACACTGTTGGTGGACATGCAAGCTGGTACAGCCATCCTGGAGAACAGTATGGAGGTTCCTCAAAAAGTTAAAAATAGAGCTACCCTACAATCCAGGAATTGCACTACTGGGTTTTTTACCCCAATGATATAAATGTAGTGATCCAAAGGGGCACTTATACCTCAATGTTAGTAGCAATAACGTCCACAATAAGCCAACTATGGAAAGAGCCAAGATGACCATCAACAGATGAATAAATAAAGAAGAGAAGGTATATATACCCAATGGAATACTACTAAGCCATAAAAATGAAATATTACCATTTACATCGACATGGATGGAATTGGAAGATATTGTGCTGAGCAAAATAAGTCAATCAGAGAAAGACAATTATATGGTTTCACTCATATGTGGAATGTAAGAATCAGTGTGGAGGATCATAGGGGAAGGGAGGGAAAACTGAATGGGAAGTCATCAGAGAGGGAGAAAATCCATGAAAGACTTCTAACTATAGGAAACTAACTGAGGGTTGCTGGAGGGGAGGTGGGTGGAGGGATGGGGTAACTGGGTGATGGCCATTAAGGCGGGCACGTGATGTGGTGAGCACTAGGTGTTATATGCAACTGATGAATTGTTGAACTAACTGTACATCTGAAAGTAGTGATGTACTACATGTTGGCTTATTGAATTCAAATTAATAAAATAAAATAAAATATAGGTTTCATTGTATCAATGATAATTTCTGTTTTACAAATGGTGTTGTGGGTATGCATGTGTTAGTATTAAGAGACTGTAGGCATGGTCATCCACATGAGAATCCCACAAAGACATCCATGTGCCATTACCAAGGTTGCAACAGCCCCTGAACATGCCTCACTCGAGAATGAGATCATAAACCCAGACCATGGAAAGTTTAAAAGCTATCTGGAATTTTCCCCTGAGAATGCTTGAGAAGCTATTAACTCATAACAAAACATTGGGTGGTTTTGAGTCCCTGCTCATGGTAATGTATGATTCTAGTGTAATTTTCTGCACATTGGCACTGATTCTTTGATGTGGGGGTGGGGGAAGGCCACCCTATGCACTGTAGGAGGTTAAGCAGTAGCACTAGCTTCTACCAGTAGATCCCAGTTGTGACCATCAAAACTGTCTCCAGACACAGCCATGTGTCCCTTAAGAGACAGAACCACCCCGAGGGTAAAACCCACTGGTGTAATGTAAAAGCAGGGCCCAGCCTTTGCCTTGCAGAGAACTGGGTTTGTGTTTTGATTCTGCTGTGTACTCTCTGAGTGACTTTGAGCAAATTTCTTAACCCCTTTGAGCCTTGGTTTCCTCACCAGTAAAATGAGAATCATGATAATCATGTCTATTTCATGGCTGGTATGAGCATTGGATGAATTAATGCATACAAAGTTTTTTTTTAAATTTTATTTTATTATGTTATGTTAGTCACCATACATCATTAGTTTTTGATGTAGTGAATACATTTCTGGACACATAGTAATAAACAGTCAGTAAATGGTAGCTATTTTTGACTACAGTGGACTCATACTCTGGACTGGTTTGGCGTAAGTGATAAGCAGTGACAGAGCAAGAAATGAGTGTGAATAGTGTGGGTGAATCCAGCCCACTGAAGAGATGGCCCCAGGGTGAGCCAGGATGGGAGGCTAGCCACAGGTGGGAGGTCAGCCCTCCTGGGTTGTCTTGCCTTGCACTGTGTGATTGTCAAACCAGGGTTCTCAGCCTCATTGAGAATAGGATTTTTCATTCAAAAGAGCTAGCTAAGAATGCACATTTACCTCCCCTTTCTTCACTTAACCCCTGTGGGCAAAAAAACCCAAATAAGAATTGTTAAAGACAAATGCAGATAGTCCCCCAAATTCTGAAGAGTGCCATCAACAGACCAGAAAGTTCTAAGGAATTTCTGTAAGATACAGTGCAAATGAGCCTGAGTGCTGAGAGAAACCAGAATGGGAGAACTCTGAAAACCACAGGCACTAGACTTCTCCTACTAACCTAAACAGGAAGCTTCTCAATGGAGAACTGCACTGGGATCCACACTCCGAGTTAGTAGTTAGAGTAGGAGTGGCCAGCTGGGGACACCAGTTCCAACTTGACCATTCATATCACCAAACTGTACCACCTGCCATGTAGACAAAGCAGATAAATTTAGCTGTTTAAATAAAGCAGAGGGTTCGTTTCAGGGATGCTGATGCGAGAAGGTGCTGATGCACACAGCCTGGTGAAACTGATTCTCACCCAGGATGTCTCTAATTCCAGAGCCAGAGGGGACTATGTTCTGCTTACCTGTTCCTTGTGTCCACAACCTAAAGGAAACCTACCTGCCTGGTATTCTGTTCCTATCTGGTACTTGTACATGGATCAGTGGTCATCATTTTCTATCACTGCAAGTCCACAATCCTAAGAACACCTGCATCAGGCATCTGTATTAAGTGGCTTTAATAACTAT